TGCATATGTGTATATGTGTGAAATGATCTTTATCTCATCATTTTTTTTAAAGAAGGCGGCATATCTTTTTTTTTTTTTTCTACTGCATGAAGAAATTTTCTTTTATATCTCTTCAAAAAGCTGGTAGAAAACAGTTTTTCCCCGGGTTTTGAAGACATCTTTTCATAAAGAAATCACCAACCTTGTCTGTTTCACTTATCCATGTGTGGCTATTAAAACTGCCTGGATCTCAAAGGCATACAAACAGCTTGTCAATAAAGTAGTAAATTAAACAATGGACATTAAAAAAACAAAAAACCTTCCACTGAATTTCCTCATTAGCAGCCAACAATTTTTGGTGCTTTCAGGCTTAGAGCTTTAATATTTGGTAAACTTTAAATAAGAGAGGTCTTGGGTTTATCAAAAAGTATATTATAACAGACAGTGAGTGAAGCCCTTCATTTTATCATTTTTAAGAAAAAATATTTCAATTTAATATAGTTTTCCTTAAAAGACCAACAGCTTTATTTACTAGGTTTCCCATAGCACATTCTTTGGAAAAAAATATGATTTAAGTTTGCATTTTGAAGCATTGTGATAGCATTCATCAAAAACAAAAGCTAAGCAGAATACAAATTACATATCTCTCAATCAGAGAGTTTGGGCTCCAATGTCAAGAATATATTATTGGAGGAAAGCCTTTTTGTGTCTTCACTAATCGGATGGGTCTTTCTGCTTTTCCTCACCTACTGAGCGAGGCAGCTTGTAGTATCTATGAAGAAGCTTGATGTTTCTTAGATAATATGGTTTGGAAGATGCTGTTTGCAAGCTTAGTGGCTTCTATGTTTGTGTTCATAAGCAAGAGAATATAATTCATTTCTGCATATCTGCTAGACTGGACAAATCAAGGTGACAATCCGTGGTTAGCTCTGTCAGGCCCTTTGTCCTACTGCTGCTGTGAATGGAAGTACAATGGAAGCAAAGTGGAATATATAACAGCCCAGCTGCATTGTTGTGACAGCCCAGTCCCACCATTGCAATGTGTCAGCTCATGTTTGTGTACCGATAGCCAATCCATAAAATGACAATGCAAATTGTGTGAAAAGTCTTCCATAAGATAACAAATCATGTTGGGGGTTGAGGTGTGGGAGGGGAGGAAAAGGAGAGGTTGGACACATGTCTTAGAAAAATAATGACCCATAAAAGGTTATATTTTTGGTACAGTGATTACATTCAAATGCAGGGCCCTCATCCCAATTCTGGCATGTGTCTCAAAGACGCAGGTAGGCGCTTACACTTAAATCTATCATAGCATTTCTGTGTGCAAGGTTCTGCATTAATGTTACTTTTAGGGCTGTTTATATTTCATTTACGCATGCAATTAATCATCTTTACTGTGTTGATGCTACTGGCGTCAGCAGTGTGACTTAATTAAATTTGAAATTATAGTACAGTAAATATAGGCTTCCAACTAGCCAGTCCAAATTAAATGCTGTGGTCTATTTCTTACCCATGGTGTTTTCCAATTTAAGTGTTCATTTGAAAGGTTACATTTCAGACTGAAATCAGGTTTCTTTTTTTTTTCTTCTTCTTTTAACTTAACTGTTGCTAAACTAGAATGGCTTTCTTTTCAATGAGCACTTTATTCCTATCTATAATATTATGTCTGTTCTCAGTATATAAATACAATGGTACCTGTATTTCTTACCTTACCTGTAATATTTATCTGATTAGATACCTAATGTTCTTTAAGGAAGGTTTTTAGCCCCTGAACACGTTTCCTTCTGATATATCAGCCCTGAGCTGCTTTACAAAGGTCTCGCCTCCATTTTGTTTCAGGCTGGTAATCAAACAATTAGCCCACGAAATGGAGGTTCTCCACTCTGCTCTACATACGGACTTTCAGATGGGTGGTTTTACCTGTTCGGAAGCTCAAGCATAACAGTTTACAGTTGATCTTATTCAACTGGCCTCTGAAGAACGTTCTTTTGATGTCAGATAAATGACTCTTGCTTAGGAGAAAACTTAGGGGCTTGAGACCTTTAGGGTGACAGCATTGGAGAGGTATTCTCTGTGCAAGGTCTGCGTGTCTGTGCTCTTCTCACCTGCTAGAGTGAGCATCTGAACCATTATTTAGAAATTCCAATGGTAAAATACAAAGCCCTAAAAGAGGGCTAACTTAATTTCTTTAAACGTTTATATTTGATGTATTACAGTCTTCTTCAAACAGTTCATAATATGTCTAGCAAGGTATCTGACCAGAAATGCAGTCACACTCCGATCATATATACAATACAGTATCTTAATACTAGAAAATGTGTCATCCGTAGAGTGCAGCAGCACAGGACTTGTGTGGAAAAAGCACAAGCTCTTTTTTTTTTTTTTTAATGCAATGCTGCCTTGTCTGCACTTTTTGAAATTGCATATTTATCAGGCCATGAATTATTTATGAGATTGGAAAAGTGGGGGTGGGGGAGTGCTGAGGATGAGGAAGAAGAGCACACACACACACAAAATGTATGCTTGAAATCCTTGGGATAGGAGGTGCTTTTCACGTGCATGCTAGCAGTTCTACTCAAGGGTTGCTGGGGGGTTTTTGTTTTGTTTTGTTTTGTTTTAATTTTTTTCTGCCTGTCGTATTTAGATTCAGTGTTGTGTATTTTGATATTTAAAAATTGTTTTGTTGTGTTGTCTACTTGCTTTCTGAAGAAATTAGGAACAGTGTAGCGTGTTTAAAATTAGGTGAATTGGGGACTAAAATGAACATCACATTTCAAAAACTTCTAAAGTGTAGAGCATTTAATAAATTTTAATCTTTTGTCTGTCAGCCTCTATTGTTGTCAAGAAAAAGCTGACAGATTGAGGATTAATGAAATGTTTCATAAATTAGAAATGAAACTAACAGCAGAATGGCCAAAATAAGACTCAAACGTTGCTCAAACAAGAGCTGTGGGCCAGTAGAATAGCCCAATCCCTTTTTAGTCTCATGGGGAAAAAAAATAAACCTCTCATATCCACTGGCTGAAAACATACATTCGGCTTCTTCCATTAAAAAAAATACAATGTTTTCTACATTTTCTAACTGTTTTTAGCATTTTGGTAGTTCCACTTATATTTCTCAAAAGCAAACTAGAAGCCAGAAGAAAAGAAACAAGGAAACAACCTCAGGTGTGACTTTAAAACCAAGAAATTCAATGCTAAGAGTTTCATTAATGATGATAAACATTTTAACAGGTAGAATAACACCAAATATGATGTGAGAGTGTAAGTCTCCTACTTCTAACACACTTGAATGGGGTACATGTGGGGGGTGGGAGGATGTTTTATGGGACAAAAAGCGGTGGAAGTATTTAGGTCCATGCTTTAACTTCCTATTATATTCCACAATATAACATAATGAGGAGACACTGAATCCCCAAAACTAACCCTCACTATTAAAGAAAGATGAATGGTATAATAATAAATTAGAAAAATGCTATTTTCTTATTCTTCATTCTCACAGATTTTTTTTTATTGGGCTGTCGGAAAAGGCATGACGTATTTTTTCTGTTTTTCATTGCAAAAACGCGTCATGACTTTCCCGACAACCCAATATATTAAGTATGCAACACAGGAAACATGTTGGTTTAAAACAAATAATAGGGTCATGTGATGTGTTGAGCCTTGAAAATATTCTATGCTAAAAAGAAAAATATTATTTTTTGTGTGTTATGTGACTAAACTCCCCATTTTGGGTTTAAAACATCCTGATTTAGGTATTAGCAGTTTAAAGTTGAAATAAGGGCTCTTTTAATTCTTCCTTGTACTGTTCTATTCAGATTTATTAACTTTTCTGCATGGCTATTCTGAACACTCACCTGAAATACCTTTCTTCCCATCGGCCAGAGATATATAATTTGAAAGTGGGCTAGTAGAGTGTATAAAAATGTTTAGCCTAATCACTCCCTAATGACAGCGACTTATGTCCTTAGTGCAGTCGATTTGTTTCCTGGGTTTTAAAAGTAGATTATTTCCATGGTGCAGGCTTAGTGTAAGCTGTTCAGAAACCACAAGCACTGCACTTCAGCCTGAGTTTGGGACGTTCGCCAAGGGTAATCTGATTAAAAGGGCATTTTTTACAACATTGTGCTGCTTTGAAAATTCTGTGCAGCCCGATAGAGTGGGGGCCAAAATATTGCTTTTTGAAGACCAGTTTCCTTGAACAAAATTAAAAGCCTGATGATTCTCTTCCACCTAAGTGCAGTGGAGGAACAAAGACCCTTAGTAACACATCTGTTAACCTACCACAAGTCATTTCCTCATCTGTTTAATGCGGCTGTTCAGTTTATTCTGCTTTAAGTCATGTGAACTTCCACCATCCGTGCTCAGCTCTTTAGCCAGGTCCCATGGAGAGGTATGGCAGCAGTGTTTCCAGTTCTAGCTTTGTTACTGTGTGACCTGCTTTGTGGTCTGCACTGAGGACCCGTAACAGTTATGGTTACCTGAAAAGGTTAGCGGCTCTAAGTTGTTGAAAGGTAATTATCGTATCTCAAATGTTGAGTATGTTTTAAGAGATGGAATACAATACTGATTAAACATGTCATGCTTGCACACACTGGGATGCACTCAAAAGGACCTTTCTTGCATCACTTATTTTATGGAAGTATTTTTGTATTCTTCCACAGGATCTGAGTAGGTAAATAAAGATAGATACGACCTGCATCTACTCCCATTGTCCTACCATCCTTTGAGCAGGATGGATAGTAAATTCATGGGAGAATCTATCCATTTAAAGATTGTAGAGATGTTTGCACTTGCGCACTTATATACACTGCCTACAGATGAACATTTGGTTTCTGATGCTTCTTCAGAACCACTCTACTAATGGATCTTACTGGCATTTTGCCTCTGTTGGAGGGGCCTTCAATAGTTTGCTTTCCCCCCAACAGATCAAAGCTTTTCAAAACAGCTGAAATGTTGTAACAAGATGCCATGACACAGTTCCGAAAAGACAAATAAAATATATTTTAATTCCATGTGCGATTGGTTCGGCAAATATGTCAAACATTGTATTAGTGCTACATGAGGATTGACCCCTGCCCGCAAGCTGATCATACTCTTACCGAGGGAGAGCTAGTATGATGTGAAAGGGGTGAGCATTCTATTTAATCCAGAAACCAACTGCTGAGGGGCCAGAGAGGAGGAACAATACCACTTCCTGAAAGAGATTGGCATTAGTGAACTGGAGTTAAAAACTAATGCCAACGAAAGGACATGGACAATATCATGTATATGCTTTACAACAGAAGATCTCATTATTGTCTGGGAAAAGCTTTCCTACATTTTAGTGGTATCTTAAAACATGATGAATTCTTGTACACTGTGTGTTTCTCAATCCTATAGTCTACATTTTCATGGAAAGTAATCCTCGAACACGTCATCCCCAGTAAATAGCAAAAATGGTGGCATTTCTTAAAATATACACTCTAACTTTTGGTAACTTGGAGAGAATGTGCTGAAAACAACTCGAGTCAAAATAGAAACCCAGAGATGCTGCAAATTGAATTAAACCTTCCCCCACGACAAACAGCTACTGCATTTCTTTGTTGAAGATGACAGTTTTTCTTCTGAGCCATCTTTGACTTCCTGGGAACAATGCTATGGAATGCTTCAGGAGTGTGTGATATGGTAGAGATGGGTCAATGACAAAATATGGCGTTTCTAAAGAAACTCTTTGCAGCCATTAGGTCATCTTTCAGGAAACCAATGCTCTCACTTCACAGCAGAATTCCCATCTGTGCCAATGGGGTCGTCCTTACGGATTCAGAGAGCATTTTATGGTCTTTCTTTCCCCTGCAGAATAGAAAGGATAATTTGACTCAGGCACATTAATATGAATGGCTTGGAGTTATATGATTGAAGATTTTTTAATACCAGCATCAACGTCACTGTGTAGGGTAGCAACAGTGCTCCAGGGTGTCAATGACCCAAAGTACATATACCTGGGACCAAGAGAGACAAAGGGAAATTATTTTATTCTGGAGAGGTATAGGTAAGAGTGAGAAAGGTGTTTTCCTGCTTTCTCTGTATTTGGCATGTTATTTTAGACAAAGTCGTTTGAAAACCTTGTAGGGAAAATTGGCCATGAGATGCCATAACTCTCCATATCTGCCTATATAACCCTTTTGTAGTGCCAATAATCTTTGTTAACCAATTTTACCCTTTGAAGTTCAATGATAGATTTTTTTTTTTAATTTAGGTTTTGGATATCCCTTTAAGATTTTTGAATCTTGTGCCACTTAAAATGAGATATTCATGTCAGGGAGATGTCCTGCTGTTCTAGGAAAGGGAGGGGGCACCATTAAAAAAAAATTCTTGATAATCAAGGCCACCTGTGATCCGGGGCTGCTTGCTGGAGCACAAAAGCACTGAGGAAAGCTGTTCTCCGAACCAAAGCAACATTTCTGTGATCCACAAGACACTTCAGCCTCTTCCCACTAAGAAAAAAAGAAAATCATGCTACAACAGGATCAGCTGCTCTCTGTTCCTTCCTTAAAAAAAAAAAAAAAAATCGAGGTGGCTGCTATTTAACACAAAGCCCTGTGACCTTAGTGCCGTGGCTGCTTTGAAACACCGAGCTATTTAATGATGCAAATTACAAACAGAGGGAAAACATCAGAAGAGTCTGTCTGGAAATTAGCTTGTTGGACTGAAAATTAGCTAGCTTAATCGAACTTGCAGGACTCAGGTTTTCTCTGCGGAAGCCTGGCTTGGGGCTTTGGTCCATTTGCATGATCTCGCTACTCAGTAGAATCCTTGGAATTGTTGAGAATTAGAGATAGGAAAAAATCTATCTTCTATTTACATGGTTGAAATGACCAAATGACCTCTTGGATTTTTAGTAAGGGCCTTACGTTTTCCCAGGAAACATTACAGGAGATACTTGCAAAAAGTCAACCTAGAAAAATTAAATTAAATTTTGCCTATTTCTAAAGTGCTGTGTCAAATTGTTCTTTTATCCCAAAAAACTGGGATAAATCATATATATGTTGGTACATAATTACATTTTTCTTTGGTTTGAGCATGTTGTATGGTAACAACATGACTCAATTCACACAGAGAGATTTCTTGTAAACATTGAATCTCGTCAAAGACTTCAAAGACATGCTTAAACGTAGGCCTATGCTTGAGGCTTATGAATAATTTCAAAGGTCAAAAAATTGTACCATGTTGAGATAACAGCATCGGGTCATCAAGATCTATATGAAAACATCAGTTCTTAAAATAAGGGAAGGACTAAAAAACTTTTGTTTTCTAAGAGCTGAAACAGGATTGCGGGATGATTTCTCTGAATAGTTTCAGAAACATTTGTGTTTTCATATATCGATAGATAGATGATAGATAGGTAGATAGGTAGATAGATAGATAGATGAGATGAGTACTTTTTTTTTTAATAATATCAAAGGAGCAAAAGTCTAAAACCATTTGCCATGCACATCTCCTGCTTTATGTCCAGCCTGGCAATCAAGCATCTCTGTCGACGGAGAAAAATAGTATATAAATGATGCTACCTAATACAGTAATCCCTTAATTAAGAAACTATCCAGACAACTAATTATAAAGTAGTCTTATATCCCCCCAAAATAAGTTTTAACCTGAGAAATGTAGTCATTCAGAATATAGTTGGAAGCACTATAACAGCACAGAGAGTGGGGGAGAAATTTACTGCTACTATTTGGATATCATAATAAAATAATATTGATGACTTTAGGCAGAATTCATCAAAAAGAAATGATAAGAAATATTTTTATCATTTTTCTATTTTAAAAAATAAAATATGTCATTATTTTTTATTTATAGACTTTAAATTTTAATGAAAATCTCTGGTAATAGTTTCTGAATTTCTGTTGAGACTACTGACAGTTCATAAATATGTCAAATTCAGTTATTGGGAACATATTGTAATTTCTAACTTTTTACAACATGGGTAATGTATTATCTTTCAACTATTGTAAAACAGCTGAGGCTATGTGAAAACTTGGTTTCTGAAATTTCTGAAATTGAATGTTTTTCAGTGATGAAATAGCCTACAGATGTCCACAGAATGCCAATACCAATAGCACCAGGCAGTAGACTTATTTAATTCTGATATTCTAGTCCATCATAGCTAGAGCAAAGGCAATTCTATTTTTAAGCAATCTGTGCAAACTGAACAGTAGATATTATTGATTAGTATTTTGACAAGTGTTGAATGAAACTTACTAATCATTAAATGGTTATAAAGTCATATTTTATAAATTAATGCACTAACCTTATTTGCAAAAAAAAAAGTGCTCTCAGTTTATGTGTAAATAAGACTTAATATTGTGAGTTATTTATTTATGTTGGTGTCTGTAAAGTGATAGAGAAACAAGAGACCAGTGGTCCTCAAAGAAAATAGACTGAGGCTTTCATTAAGTCTGTGGATTTCTAAGACATGCACAATCTAGTGTTTATTGATTGAGTACATCAGTGGTTTCTGGTTTCCTTCTAACTATGATAAATACCCAGTACAAAAAAACATAACAGTTATTTAAACCAAATATATATTTTTTTAACATTTATATAATTTATACAGTGATTCTCCCCAATTAGTCTAGTATCCACCTGGCACTATGCATAGTTATTACCATATTATTGACTACATTCTCTTCGCTGTACTTGACACCCCTGTGACTATTTTGTAACTACCAATTTCCTTAATTCCCTCACCTTTTTTCACTCAGCTCCCCAACCTCCTACCCTCTGGCAACCATCAGTTTGTTGTCTGTTTCTGTTATGTTTGTTCGTTTTAAACCAAATATTCTTTATGTCACTGTGAAATACATTCAGGATATGATAAAGTGCTTTCTCTTCCATTACCACTCAGGGTCAACTTTGTAGTGCTACTCAGATTTGGGTGTTTGGTTCTAAACAACATTCATTTTATAATCTGAACAGTTTTCTAAAAATAGTTCACCTCTAGTAGAAAATTACCCAAGATTCCATCTCTTTACCGTTCCCACTGCCTATTCTTTGCTCTACCTCTCCAGTTTTCTGAATAGGTGAATATATTATCACCTGGTTCACTGTTTAACTGAGCTGCCCTCACCTAACTCTTATAAACCTAACTCTGATAAAACCTTAAGTTTTATCATCCCTGGGGAATCCTTAGGCTGATAACATTGTGGTCATGCCAACAAAGACACCAACTCGGAGTCATTGTCTTTTTTCTAGGAGATATGGTTCACACTGAAATTCACTTCGGTTAATGTGTTTTTGTTATTGTTCTATTTGGTTGGCCTTCATTCTCCTTCCGCATTTGGTGAGTGAATCTCACCACCCGCACCCTGACTTAAAATCATTGAATATGTGAGGTGTAGTGATGAAGCTAATTCTGAAGCCTAATGCGTTTACACAAAGGACAGGTTATAGTAGTATACATAAGTATATACATTGTGATATATATATACATGTATGTTGTAAAATATAGCAAACATACCACACATTGTTGTATATTTAGGCTATATTAATATATATGTATACATAGCACTCTAGATGGCAAGTAAATTTATTTAGTTCATGTTATTTCAAAAAGGTCCTGTGTGCCTTCAAATTGCAAATGGTTTATAGGCAGAATATACATTTTATAATGAGGGGGGAAAAATCTTTCCTTAAAAGACTGTAATAGTGGTCAGCGTTTGTCGTTCACGTTGATAGATTCTGAATGAATCGTCCCCACAAGGTGGGAGATGGAGGGGAGGGGGTCAGAACGCCCTCTGGTCCTCTGCTCTGTGCGGAGAAACCTCCGCAGCACAGGCGCGTCCCTCCTGAGCCCCGGCAGGACAGCTCCGCCTCCGCGGAAAACCGCTGAGCACTGCGCAGCTCCTCTCTGCCACCTCCCAACCCCATCCCCCGGCTGCGTTCATAGCAATCTGAGCGCTGAATGTGAGCTGCCATGTCTGACATCCTTGCAGCCTGCGGGGAGAAACAATATTGGGTGCATGGCGGATTGGGAGGGCGCAGGAAGATAGATAGGAGGGAGAGATGGGTGGCAGCGAGGCGCAGGCAGGAAGGGAGATGGGGCGTGCTCAGGAGGCTTATCTCTTCCCACTAGATCTCCCTTGATCTGAAGGCCCAGAATAGAACCGCATATTAATAAAAGCAAATCCTATATAAACAGATTGTCTTTCTCCACCGACTAGGGCTGTGGACTTCAGGTATCGGACTTCACTTATCATCGCCTTACATTTCAAAGGCCAGGAGCCCAACAACATCCCCCCCCCCCCTTTACAGAATTGCTTTTTTCTAGAATGATTCCACATGTTTACTTATTCTACCACCGCCAACCGGTCATTTGTGTTTCTGGCATACATGGTCATTACATAAGAGTCCATATTACTAACAACACGAATAGCAATGTGGAATGACCTACCCCCATATCAAGGAGTGCTTTCGTTTCTTCAGGAACAGTGGAAGCTTGAGAAGTTTATATCAAAAGTGCTCCAGGATTGTAAAACTTAGCATCACTCAGTCAGGATCCTCTTCAGTTTCAAAAGTGAATGTTTAAGACGTAATTAGCATTGTCTTGTACACCTGAAACTAAAAAATAAATAAAAACCTTAAAAAAAATCAGGAAAAAAAGTAATTAGCAAAGAAAACACTGCTTATTTAAAGATAGATGACACTTCAGCCAAAAACATTTGGGATAGTCTAAACTTTTAACTTTTTATCACGTGATTTCCCCAGGAAGACTCGCACTTAGCATGTTCTCAGCGTAGGCATCGCTCAGACTTATTCGGCGGCGGCAGTGAACGTACCGAGTGTACTCTTACACCCTTCATAAAAAGATCTGATGGGAGGCAGACAGCCAGAGAGAACTTCAAGGATTTGGCAAAGGCGAGGACTTATCTTAACCTATCCCAAATTCTCATTTTGAACATGTAAAATTTCAGTCACTTAAAAAAAAATGAATTATGTGTAGCTCAGTACTTTCTTCACAGTACTGGTACTAGAAATAGTTTAAGAACAAACTGTTCTAGGTTTTATTTTTACTGGATCTGTAGGTAAGACTGCCAAAACTGTCACTTTAAAAATGTTGTTTGCTACCAGATTTTGGAGTCCTCGTGTCTGATTCAGAGCTTTGAAAATAGCAACCAAATGTTTGGATTCCTGTTCTGTTGTGGAGATAAAAATTCCAAGACAGTCCAAAGCATTCGTATCTTTAAATGAAAATAATAATAAAAATAAAAATAATAATAACAACAACAACAACAGGAAAGAAAAAGGCAGGAAGGAAGGTGAAAAAAAAAAAGCCACTAATGAGAAATGCTACAAACACTGTGCTTTGGCATACTTTGGAACTTTTCCTTTCTACCAGACTGTATTTGCAAAGACAAAGTCTACTTCCTCACAGAGTCACATGCTTATTCTTTCATGTCACCTTAGAATTCCTTAAAAAAAAAAAACCTCTGAGGTCACCTTGACATCTTCTGCCACTGCAGGCTTGAGTCAAGGCCACATGGATTGTACTGTGTGATGCATTACAGCAGGTTCAGATGTGAATGCAGCTCCCGTGATTAGAAGGGGAAAAGATTTCTTCTATAAACTCGTCTTTGTAGCTGCCAATTCCAAATCACTCAGCCACAGGCACTAGCTCTACCTTCCTCCTGTTCTCGCCTCCCCCGCCTCCCTCTCCAAACAAAAGGAACAGTACTCTGAACATTTTTTTGTTGTTCTCTGGGTTGCTCTGGTTGGGCAAAGATCATCATGCTCTGATTTAGTGTTTTCAAATAAGTGTGCCCTCTGCTGCAGCACTCTATTGAGAGACAACACAGCCCAAGCAGGAGAGTTCAGCATGGCCACTAGTAAAACACAAGTGCGGCTTTGTCAGGCCACGAGTGATTACTTGAACAAGTGCCAACGAAGAAACCAAACATTAGAGCTCAGCGCTTCAGACCCTCAAGACAAAGGGCCAATTGACTTTCCTCATTAGTTTTTGTGCCAAACATGTAAACACAGTTTCCTCTCTATCTTTGATGCTCAAAACATGCCAGCTTGTTAACATCTTGGGTGGTACGGTGGTTTACAAGGCTATAAAGACTGTTTCGTTGGGTTGGGTCTTTTTTCCTCTTTTTATTGGGAAAGATTGACTAATATTATTTAATTTTTTTGTTATTGAAAGAAGAGTCTTTGGGGGCACTTTTCACTTTGCAGGAGTCCCATTGATTCAAATATAATAATCTAAAAATCTTAAAAGAAAAAACAAAAAGACGTAGTTAAAAAAAAAAAGAAAAAAGAAACCTCAGCGTGATATGATCCTTATTAATTCCTGCTAATGTGTGTAGGGTAAAAAGTCTGCTATAAATGTTTCAAAAGCAAAACCTATAAATGTATAACTGTGAGAATAAAAATAAGGATTCTAGAGGACTGGTGAGAGAGAGCTAATAATGGTTATTGAGTCAGGTCAGAGCTCCATCTTGGGGTGATTGATATTACACCTCCTCACCATGCTCTCTTTTAGTCAGAGTCTTATATCAGCGTCTCAGAGGTCTCGTATTATTTCAGCTGTGACTTTCATTTCTCCTCCCTTCCTGTTCTCCCATTTTGGCTATTGTTTTACACCTGGGCTCACCAATACTTCATACACCTCTTCCTTTCACACTTGACTTCTCGGGCCAGACGCAGTAGGTGTCTACAAATGTGTTGTCATTTGTGTGGATATATAGAAAATCCTTTCCCGAATTTGTCTCCATAACTAGGCTGAGAGGGGGAAAAAAAGCATTGGCTTAGTGTCAGATTGTCCAAATTGTGAATCTTGGCTCCATGAGTCAACTGTATTAACTTCTTAAATGTGAAATCAATTTTTCACCTATGTTTCACCAAACATGATAACACAATATATTGTCGAGGTAATATAAATTGTTATAGGCTCTGTGGGTGGTCATTTAATTATATTTACCAATATTAAAAATGCATATATCCTTTGTTTCAACAATTCATTTCTAGGAATTTATTATACACAGATCTACTCACACATATGTATAAAGGCTGATTTATACATATAAGTGTGGAACTATATATAGCATTGTTTGTAGTAACAAAAGGTTCGAGGGGACCCTAAATGTCCATCACTGGAGACTGGTTAGATAAGTCATGGTACATCCATAAAATGGAAAGCTACGTAGTATCTGTTAAAAATAATGGTGCTGCTCTGTATGTATGGAAGTAGAATTGTTCCCAATTTATATTTTTAAGTGAAAAAGGAAGGTATATAGCAATGTATCTAATAAGCTAACATTGTATAAAAGCAAATATATAGACATATACAATAGAAATGCAAATCATTGATAAGAGAAGTTTGCCCTAGTAAAGGGGGAATTGGACTGTTAGGATCAGGTCAGGGAGGGAGACTTACATTTTACTGTATAACTTTTTGTACCTTTTGGATTTCTTATAATGTCAATATATTCCTCGGTTGAATAAATTAAAATGCACAGTTTTAAAGCACGTCTTAGAGGGAATACACAAATTCACTATGAGCTATTAACGCCATTATTAAATGGTTTAATTTTATTGTCTGGTTTAATGGTTAATTATTAAACCATTATTAAATAACTCACATTACTAAAATCTTAATGTCAGTTATTTTGTCCCTTAATGAAAGCTGGCTAATGTAGAACTTTATGGAAATAGGACTGAATTGGAGTATATTTTGTCATGGAAGATGGAGGAGTTTGGGCCCAAAAGAGCAAAATTATAAGGAGGGATCTCAAGTCCTGATGGCACAACATAATGAATACCTAGAGGCAGTCTGAGGCCGCTGGTCCCTGGATGAATTAGATGCTGGACGAATTAGACTCTGGGTGAATGGGAAAGGCATGGAGAGACCATCATTGAAAACATAAACAAGACTTCTGAAGTAAAAATAAAGGCCCAATTTGATAAGGTGGCAGCCTTGGCCAGAAAACCTTAAAACGTTTAAATGTCCTATGAGGTAAAGGGGTTTCAGGGGCATCCCTAAGCTTTGCAGCAAGATTAGCAGTAAGGAAGGTGCATTAGGTCTCTTGGGCCACTAGGGTACCATTTAGAGTAGTGTACTATCATCGCAGCCAATGGCCTAGAAACAAATGATTTCAAAGTAATGACACCCCAGTGGCCTGGAAGAGTTAATGTGCCTCCTAAGTGACTAATTTACCATTAGGGAGTTATTTAGCCTCTGGGGAAGATAGAATTTGTTCTCACCAAGGCAGAGTAGTTTACTAGATAGCATTGAGAAGTAGAACACAGTAGAGGCGTGTTCTATTTTGACGCCTTTGTAGATTTGTTCTGCTACCTTGGTCAGCCACTTAACATCTCTTTGTTCCAGCACATCAGGGCCATGAAACAGAGCCATAATCCTTCAGTTTCCTCAAATCTCAGGCATGATATACAGATTGCTAAAATAGCACCACCGGAGGATTTGAAAGAGAGTACTCTTTTAATATGGGGGTGGCAACCTGTTATACAGCCCAAAGTCACATCCTGAAAATCAAATGACCATGTTTTAGTCCTTAGAGTGCTATTAACTAGCTCATTGACCTTGGATGTGTTTCTTAACCTCTCTAGGCCTAACAGTATTCAGAAAATAAAAAGATTAGACTTTAATAACCTCTGACATCTGCTCCAAGTCTAGCATTCGTGAATTTTAGCCAAATACCTAGGAATAGTCAATCAAATGGAAAAGTTTATAAAATGTACATTACATTTTTGCCATCTTCATTTTTTTCTAAGTTTTTCTATCATTAGTCGAGCAATAACATGTACTTAGAATGTAAAATTTGGATAATACATCTTAGCCAAAGGAGGTAAATATGAGCAACAACAACAAAAAAGATGCTGCCTATTGGTGATAGATTTATTTCTCTGTTTTGAAAGATGGAGCATATATTCATGAGAAAGGCAAAAGAAATCATATTCAACAACACAAATGATGTAAATAATCCATAACCACATAAAAAATATACCAAAATCAGATGTGGTTAAACCAAGAAGGCTTCCTGGAAGACTCAAAAGAAAGAGGATATTTGGGTTAGCAGAGCAAAGGAAAGAAGATATTATAGTGTGGGAATAATTAATATGCAAAGGCAAAAATTTAAGAATAATAAAGATAAGCAGCATGGTCAGCAAATTGGCAATATGATAGTAAAGATTTTGCATGAAAGATTACTAAGATATTGGAATGAGGAAGTTAAGGATATTATAGAGGTAGAAGTTTATTGATGAAAAGCTTAACAATGATTATTACAGAGAGAACTTTTTATATGAAAATATAACAAGTTTAAGATTCATAAATGTTGTGGGACAAAAATCATGCCATGATAAAAATACAGTTTAAAATAAATTTATTCATCAAAATAATGTCCTCTATACTATAAAAATATTCAGGGAGACCATCAAACAAATACAGATTGATTATTATAATTAATATTTCAATAGATCACATTGTTTTTCTTCTTCCTGTCTGGAATATTAACAAACAAAAATCTCAAAAGCATATTAGATGAAATAAAACCAACAGGAAGTTAAAGTAAGAAAAACTTTGTTCCAAATACTCCACAACTTGATAAATTTTAGAATCTAACAATGACTGAATAAGTTTAAATTAGCATTAAAGTATTTAGAAATAGAGTTTAGAGGAACTAGGTCACCATTTCTCTTCTAATTAAGGATTAGTTTGGATTGCAAGAAAAATCATAACATTTTATTGCATATATTATGTTGTATGCCTTGGAATGAGCATCTTTAAAGAGATAATTCACCAATGAGTGATTGTCT